GTACAAAAACTACTTAAAGGTAATTGTTTCAATTTGTTAATGATTTGAACTTTAATAACTATCCATTAATTCTAAACCACCAAATAAAAACTTTTATCAAATACTTAATTTGTAACCATTTCAAAATAAACAAATTTACTATAGTCCTAACCTTAACTATTTGAGTAAAATCACGCACTGTTATCTCCAAATTACTCTTCCAATTGCACCCCTAATCCCATAAGAATTATCATTAAATAGTTTTATAACAACTAAATGAATAATTTAAGTTGGCCTAAACACAAAACAATGGGCTTTACTATCATGTGAAAATTATATATGTAAACTCAATACAAAACTTGTATCTAACTTAAAATCAATTAACAATAGGTAGAATAACCTCCTTATGTTTAACCCACATAATAAGGATAATTTTTTTATTATTTTTTATATGATTTTTATATGTCATTAAATAAATATATATTTAATATTATAAATCTCAAATAATTAAAAAAATTAATTATTTAAATAACATGTGAAATTATATTAAAAATTGATATAAAAGATTATACCAAGTCATTTTCCAAACTTGCCTTCTTTTTTTCGGCATTAGTTTACTTGTTTTGCTTCCCAAACTCATCCAATTATTGCCAAAGAAGTCCGAGATTGTTGGCAAAAAATTTGCTGTTCCGGCAAAAAAAAATATATATATATATATATATATAATTTGAAAAAAGAGTGTAATATAAAAATATAATAGATAATTACTTTTAAAAGTGCCACATTAATTATTTAAAGTATAGTAATAACTCACCCAACAAATAGATTGTTATTGAGGGAAAAAAATAAGTCAGCCTAACTAACAGGGTGGGTATCAGCGTATGAACAATCTATCACACAAGCATGCCATAAACAAGTCAGCAGCCAATTGCTATCAAAATGTGGTACTGCTTTCGCTAGCAGACACTGAAGGGCCTTCAGATTTCACAAGATTTGATTCTTTACCGCTGATGTCAAGCCCTCGCAATTGGCCAAGCGGATCATTTTGCATGATATCAGAGAGAGGATGTGGATTCATTTGATGTAGATGTTGAGTTGAAATGCTAGACGGAGGATGAGAGAATGGTGGCATCTGCATGTTTTGGGGCCCTCCAGGCCCTCCTTGCTGTGGAATTGGAACAAGGGGTGAATGGGTGAATGGCATGTGGTGCATAACCAAGTTAAATGACTCAGAGGGGCTCATTATTTCCCCAGTGGCAATCTTCAGCCTCTCAACTTCCTTCTTCAGTGCTTCATTCAGAGCTGCATGGCATCAACAACAAAAAATGTTTTGCCAACCATTCAAACAAATTTTGTACCTCAGAGCAATACGTTATATGTAGTTGTAGAAATGGTGACCGAGTGCAAGCATAGTAAAACATCAAAATATTATTTTAGTCACACTCACCATCACGCAGCTGAGCTTGTTGCTCCATAGCTTGCAACCGAATCTTAAGCTCTGTGTTCTCAGTTGTCAAGCCTGTTATATCCCTCTAGATAAGCAACAAGAAAACACATAATCATAGCCAGCACTAATACCTACCTACAAATTAAAATCTAAGAGCACCAAAGGCTTAACATCAAGGTAATATGAAGGCAAAGAACCACTTTCTAAAAGATAGCAACTTCTGTCTTGCCTTTTCTAAGTACTTTGTCGTTAAAGGAAGGTGATACAATAGAACAGAGTGTTTCATTTAAAGCAAAGGTAAAAATAACCAAAACAAAACAAGGTTCAACAAAATCTAAACTTATCCATTTTAAACAATTTTTCTTGCCATACAAATAGTGAAATAGAAGCCAAAAAGGGGAGACATAGAATAAATTATGATGGACAAGAAAGGTTCAAATGTGATATCATATTCTCCAGTTCTTTGGAGGTTGCTATAAGTTCAATAGAACTGAAGTTTACTCAAGTCATGCTAATTTCAAAATAAATAAACACAAACCTGAAATAGTGATAGCTGAGCAGAAAGAGTGGTTGCCTCTGTTTGCAGGGTCTGAACTTTACGCTCAAGTTCTAAGATATAGTGGGCCTTCCTCTCTTTTGAGCGAGCTGCTGACTGACGATTTGCTAATATCCTACATATAAAATAAAAACATTGTTAAGCAAAAATACCAATGACCAAAGAAGCATTAAATTCAGAACATAAGAGATGAGTAAGGACTTATTTTTTCCTTCTGTGCTGCTCTGTTTTTACTGAAACACACTTTCTTATGCAAGGGTGGAAAATGGTACACAACTAAAACAATGGATTAACAGTAAGTAAGCTGTGAAATTCTGCACAATTTCATCAGCTGAGGGTGCATGATAGTCGTCACTACAGATTCATCTCATGGGGACATTCAATGTACATCCAAAAGTCATTATCCAATATTAACTTTATAACAGTCTTAATTTTTCTTAACTTCCTTCCAAGTTCCACTAGAAAGAAATTTAATAAACTGACAGCAAAGGACCCACAAATGACAGACTCAAATGTCATGACCTCTTTAAGAAATCATGCAACAAAATGAAAACAATAGGGTAGTTATTACCATGCATAGAATTTGGTACATGATTTTGGAGTACCAATACTGGCCAACTGAAACCGTGAAAGAAGGACGAATCGGAGGATAGCACACAATCAAATAACTAAAGAAAAAGGGTAGTTTTCATTGTCTTTGAATTTCATATCCATGGAGCCACAGATTGCCACAAGTCATGTAAGACATAATCATGAAAGAAAATTACATCCAATACCAATAGATAATTTCAGATCCTAAATCCATGGTGAGTCAGTCAAAATCCTCAATCCAACTTTGTTAAATTTGACTTGATAAGAAATGCGTTTAGCTTCTGATTTAGGAGTTCAAAACATCTACAATCAGCTTGGCATTAACTCATGAGTACCAAATAATATAACATAATCATCAAAGACAAAAGGGGAAAATTTTTTTTTTTTTTTTTTTTTTTTTTTTTTTGGTACATTGATTTAAATCTAAGCAAACATTTAAATGCACAGTCAAGTGATGTAACCTCAATTCCTACAAAAGAAAAAAAATTATTGACTTAAAGTAACTGATTCTAACAGTAAACCAAAATCTGTTGCTTTGATGGATGAAATTTCCATGTTTGAATCAACATTACATTCGGATTCATATTTTCAGAACAATTGGCAATTTACTTACAGCAAAAATTCATAAAACAAAAAATCAAAATATTAAGGAAAAAAAGAAAAAAAGAAAAAAGATCGAACCTTTTGGCTCGCTTAGGATCAATAGTCCACAGCTGTGCTAGCTTATCAGGAGGCATAGACTTCTTGGCCTCCATTGTCTCTCCATATACGCTTCCGTCCACGGAATTACTATGCCTATGCTTATGCCTGGGCGTGGACGACGTCGTGGTCGTCGATGACGTCATCCTGTCCCCGTCATTGTGATCCGTACAATTCCGTCCCCTTCCATCTCCGCTCCTTCCAGTTGTGGCAGGACCCGAAGCATTGATTTTGTCGACGTCAATGTAGGTGGAGAAAAGATCATCTTCGGATCCGATCTCATCGAGGCTGGCTGTTGAGGAAGCACCTCCGCCGCCGCCGCCTCCTTTGATCTGATCGGAAGGTGAAGATAGATCCATCATTATAATGGACATATCGTCAGGCAAACGAAAACTCAATTCGGAGTGGGCCCTCCGATGGTGAGGCCCAGAAGAAGCAGCAGCAGCAGCAGCATCAGCATTAGTTGGGATGAAAGCGGCGGTGGTGTTGTTATTGCTCCCAAGCAGGGATCGGGTCGGGGACGATGACGCTGCATTTGATGGCGGAGGTGAAAATTTGGAATCCGAAATGGAGTTGGGGTTGGGGTTTGGGTTGGGATGTTGGATTTCCATTACCACAAACTCTTCGTCTCTCATTGAACCATAAATAGTTAATTACCATAACACTTGCTGGCTGTGTAAGATGTAAGAAAATGCTGTTCATTTTTTTTTTTTTTTTTTTTTTTTTTTTGAACATTTTTGCAA